CAGGAGTTTGATATCCCTTCTCTTGATCTAGTAGTAACTCTTTTATTTAGATCTCCTATGATAAGCTCCTTAAGATGATCTTGCTGAGTTCTAATTGAAGGCCCTTTATTGAGATGATTAGGCTCAGGATCTTCTTGAGGTGGGTCAATACTTCTGTCATTTGATTCTGTTGAAATATCAGACAAAGATGTTCCTACATCTTCTGAGACATCTTCTTCATCACTCCATCCTCTATCATCAATAATAACATTTATGCACTCCATCATAACTTTGGTTCTGGAGTTAAAAACTCTGTAAGCTCTGTTATTTGTAGAGTAACCCAGGAATATTCCTTCATCACTCTTGGGATCCATCTTCCTCCTTTGTTCACGATCAGCTAAGATGTAACATTTATTTCCAAAAACATGAAAGTATTTGACAATAGGTTTTCTTCCCTTCCATATTTCATACAATGTGGCTGAGGTGCCTTTCCTTAAAGTGACTATGTTATGGATATAGCATGCAGTATTCATAGCTTTAGCCCAAAAGTGGTAGGGTAACTTCTTAGCATGAATCATAGCCCTGGCAGATTCTTGAAGGGTTCTGTTTTTGCGTTCCATAATCCCATTTTGTTGAGGAGTAATAGGAGAGGAAAATTCATGATTGATTCCTTCAGAATAGAAAAAATCATCAAATTTATTGTTCTCAAATTCCTTTCCATGATCAAAACGACAAACATTATGAATCAAAACTATATATTATTATCTCAAAACCAAAATTCCACCAAAAATACATACATTTTATACATTATTACATTAAATAATTAAGGAAACAACCAACATACAAAATTAGCATGTATTTAATTCATTATTCTAAAGGAAGCAATATGCACAACGTGAACGAGCGTCTTTTGGTGTCTTGTCCCTAAACACCTCTATAATCTTAAACAATAATATTTGTTAGTATAACACTTGTTGGAACACATGTAAAAACTCTTAGAAATTATAATAAACAATAAATTAGTAATTAACAATAAAAAATATTTATTTGTTAGCTTTCCCATGTGCCTTCTTGATGATCAATACAAATAGTATGCACATCATCTATATTCTTTTATATGAAGTAGGCACACGTGTTGCGAAAGAAAGGGTCTCATGAATTTCATGAGTTAAATCTTAATTTTCATCACTAGGAGGAATGTGTTCTCCTTGGAGAACAAACATACCACCTATTGTCAAAATAATCAGTGACATCAAACACTTATTTTGTTTGGGATGCCATGATAAATGGTTTGTTCATATAAGCTGCCTACGTAGGTCAACCCGTGTGAATTCTAACACATTAAATTGTACAACTGTGTTACTGTCAACCCACTTGCATTTAAATAAAGGCATTTTGAATACAACATAATCAATCTTTTAAATCTCCTCAATAACCCCAAAGTATGGTCTATAAGTCATTATAAGATTATTATCTTTGGAATTAGAGAAGTATATGGATTCACCCTCAACCATAACCCCACAGTTTGAATGTATGATACTCATCTAATAATATCGAATGCACTCTAATCATTATAAATCATTTCCTTAAACTTTATGAAACTATTGTTATTCTCTTTAAATAACCACTTGTCACTCATCCAACAGAAATTTTCTTTGATAAGTCTTTTGTGAGCGGGTAAGTAAGGCTAGACTTCATCAGTATTATACAACATATACAAATGTGCTTGAAGAACTATATCCCGGATTATTGACTTAACATTTAAACGTTGAGTACCTCTATCTTCATATCTTCCATCATGAAGAGAATTTGAAATTCCTAAAGAGTATGCTTTTAACAAATAGTTTGAACAAAACTCAACAACTTCTTCTATGTTTTTCCTTTAACCATTGAAGCTTCTAGAAGGTGATAATTATTCATATACCCTTTAGAGATCTTTGTGTATTAATCTATTAGATAGATCCACCTTAAATAAACTAAACAACAAAATCTTATTTCTCTGACTAGATGAACAATCAAATGAACCATTATGTCAAAAAGTGATGGAGGAAAATACATCTCCTTGACACCTGATTTGTAGCCTCATCTTCTAATTCATCTAATTTTTTTGGATCAAATATTGTATTACATATATCATTTAAGAATAACCATATTATGCTTATTCTTCAATGCTATATGTAATAAAATGCCACAAATAGTCACTAGTAGAAGTTATTGCATTAAGACATGAAACTCATGAGATTTTAAGCCACTTGAGATATTTTATTGATACAAGTTTCTCGACATTTAATGAGTGCCCTTGGAAAAATTTGATACCATACGGACACTCACAAAATCATTTTTTTCTTTTCTAGATAGAGTGTGACATATGTCGGGGGGAAATATATTCTATTTCCTAATTTTTTTGGGGTTAACTCTTATCGTATATCCATCACCACCATGTCTAGACATGAATTCTTACTACATTTTGTCTTAACTTGAATGTTTAGAAGTGTTTCAATAAAACTATCACACACATTTTTCTTTATATGCATCAAATCAAGGAAATGTATTACATCGAGGCTAGATTAATATAGAAGATCAAAAAACACCGACTTTTTTTTCATATATTTTTCTCAATGATCCCTTTTTGGTTCTTTTCAAAGACAACATTCATGTATTGTTGTCGTATATAAACTTCATCTCTAGTTAAGGGGTTATGAGTGATATCAAACTCCTGCTCTCCATTAAAAGCGGATCTACAATATGGATGATTGAATTTTAAATTTTTTGATGACTAAGGTAAAAATTATTTTTGCATACAGAATTTAGTGGGAGTATGTATTATATTCACATATAGGACACACTTTATGTACCTTGATATTGTATCCATACAAATTACAATATGCATGAAAGTTGTTGATTTGATAAAATAACATGACACATTTTTTACACTTTTCACCCAAATACACATCATCAACATCAACACCTTTCTCCCACAAAAATCTTAAATCCTTACTCAATGGACTTTGATAAATATCCATGTCGTTTCCAGGTTGTCTTGACACCGAAATCATCATAGATAACAACTTATATTTGTGATTCATGCACAACCACGAAGATAAATTGTAAATAATGAGAATAAAAAACCATAAAATATGAGTAGTACTAAAATTAACAAAGGTGTTCATTCCATCAATGTCAAGTCCAAGCCTAAGATTTCCTGGTTCATGGCCAATATCAAGATACAACAAATCAATTTTATTTCATTGCAAAGAACCAGCTACATGGCAATTTCCCCCTTATATTTTCTTTCATCTGAATGCCATTCAGTATTCTTTGCATCATTTACATTTGCAAAAAGTATCTTGATCCTTGTAATTATTTTTAGGTACCATAACACTTTGTCAATAGGACGCTTCTTGCTTACATCGTCATCAACACAACTTTCATTCACTTTGTAGCGCGACTCCCCACACTTTGGGAATTGATTTAATTTTTCATACTCTTTCATGTATAATATGAAATCATTATGATATGAATGTATTTTGATATACTCTAAACTCATTAAACATAATATATTCTTGGCCTCATAACTATGGTCTAAGAACTTGTTACCTTCTAGAAGCATTTCTTTCAACAGTTCAAGCAATTATGTGAAACTTTTATTAGTCCATCCAATGTTTGTGTCGTAACTGGCAAAAAATATGATTCACCACCATTAATTTTTGTCCTAAGGACGGGGAAATAACCGGTAACCATAATTCGTATAGAGATTCTAAATTCGTAAGTCAATTAGATGAGAGGAAGGTGTTAGGCACCATTGATCTCCCTTGTTCTCAAGGGGCTCCGCTTTTAGATTCTAGGGTAAATCGGGAATTTCTATCTAAATTTGTTATTTCCATATATTTAAGAAAAAATATTTAATTTTTAATAGCTGGACTCGCCTAGATTTTAACCGCGTGCCTATGTATCTCCTTGCGAAGAATCAGAGTCCAAATCTGTAGTTCGTAGTGTTTGGTTGGTATTTTTTATGAGATTGCGTAGCATTGCTTTTGAATTATCCTTAAACGTTGTCTGAGTTTGAAAAATGAGTGATCGTAGACACAATTCGCAGTTAATTTTGAAATCGATACTATTTAATCTTTTTTATAAAAGATCTTAGATTTTTTATTATGTTAGTAGAAAAATAGTTTGAATTGTTGATTATTTATTTTAATATTTGATTTGGTGAATTAAAGAAGACTTGATCTTCATTGAAATTAATTCGCGCTAGGAGAAGTAGTTGATTTGATTGGTTAATGAGTTTTAATTATTTTGATTTGAATAATTAATTAGTAAAACGTTAAATCAATCAATCGATTATTCAGAGACGTGGTGGATATAAAATCCATCAATCCTATTACTTATAAAAATGTTGAAATTTAATTTGATTTGAAAAAAAAGTTTAATTTATGTATAAATATTGAATTGTTTATAAATTAACTTACTTACAAATTATGCGAATACATTGAATTAATTGAAAAACTTAAAAAATATACGCAATTAATTAAATTAATTAATTTAAGTAACTAATAAAAAAACACGTTTTGTATTTTTTGTATTTTGTTATATTTATTGTATTTTTATAATTATAAGATAAATAAACAAATCTAATTAATTAAACCTAGGCAACAGAATTTTAAAACAATAGAAGGAAGGTTAAAAAATAAAATAGAGAAAAAAAGGTTAATTAACCTAATTTATCTACACCAAATAAAATGAATTGAAAAAGAATTAGAAAAGAGCAAAACACACAACAGTATATGGGGCGGACCACATCTTCATGATTTTTAAATTAAAACCTTCAATAAATTGAATTAAATTAAATTGCAACATGGGGTCATAGACTAAAAATAATAAAAATAAGAAAATAAGAAAAGAGGTAGTAATATGCAACATGAGAAAACAAAAAGTATAAATGTCTTATCTCCACAACAAAAGTATTTTTTTCTCAAGCAAAAGATAGTAAAAGAAAAACTAACAACCACAATCATCACCACATGAGAACGGAGCTTACCAGATTCACGACGAGGTTGCGGTGTGGATGGTGTGCAAGAATCTCCCGCGGCGGCCGGAGTTGGTGCACCAAGGATCTTCAACGGAGTAGCTTGTTTGTCCTTTCCTCTTTTCGTATTTACCGATCTATTTATGAGTTTGTGATATGGTATGTGGTGCTTGGAAACTTGCTTTATGTTTGAGTAAAAAGATTACAGGTTGTGTTTATGACTTGTTTTGTGAATATGGTGAATATGGAAAATAGGTGATACCTTTTAGAGCTTTTGAAAAGAAACTCTTTTGTTTGTTCGTGAAAGAGTTTCTATGCTACAAGTGTGTTGTGATATTTACATGTGAGTAAAAAAAAAGAGAGAGTTTGTAAGGGTTAGAAAATTGTTGGTTACGTCATTTTATTCGAGATAAAAATGTATATAGAAGTACTTGAAGGTGGAAAAAAATTTGCTATTTTTTTAAAAATACAAATAATTTTAGGTAAATTATTATATATTTTAAATAAGCAAAATATTTTACTGTGAAAACCTAATGTTAGTAATACCCAAAAAAATTATGAATTCAAGTTTAAAAATAATTTGAATATTTTAAAAATGGAGTGGACAAATTTGGAGTATGAGAGATCGCCTTCCGATTAAACAATTTTAACACCACTAACAATTGTATAAATTTTGTGCACCCATTATATAATATCTCATCTTTTTCTCTATAGAAAAGTATCATACACATGGACTTTCCTAAAAGAATCTTCTCCAATAGCACATATTATATCTTCTAGTCGATCATCTATGTGTATATCAACTTCATCTCTATGTGACGTTACTTTTTAGTTTCTATCCATTTCACCATGCCATAGGTATTATCATTGACTAATTCCATCATAACATAAGTGATTGAATATTACATTACTTTTAATATTTTGATATCCCCACGTATAACACAAGGACAATAAAAGATTCCATTATTTTTAAGTTTTCTTTTTGCAAATTCAAGAAATTCAACAACTCATTTCTCATACATCAGACTTAATCTAGTAGCTTTCATTCAACTACGATCCATGATACTTTTTGAAATTAAAATCAAAATCCTTGTAAAATCATGCATCTTGAATGAAAACTTTGCTAAGTGGTCGTCAAAATAGCAAGTGTACTATTTTGCCAATATAGTAATAATGGGAAATCCCAAAGTATTGATCTCAAGGACTGCGTACAATTATCGAGTTCAATTCACATTTAATTAAACAAAAACTTAATTTGTTGTTTTGGTTTTGAAAATTGTCACTTAACCAATAGCAGAAAATATAAATTGGTTTTTCACTAATATGAGGAGCATGCTAGGGATAAGTGTGTAATTTACCCCTGTAATAACCTTTACTCTTGATTTCTTCAACAAGTTCATTACTCTCAACTACCAAATCTTTAGTTTGTTTTCCCCTAAGTCCTTAGTGGGAAAATCTCTGGTCCTTCATCCTAATACCTAAGTCCTTAAAGAATTATGATGAAACTAAACATTTATTTTATCAAGATTTTACCGGTAACTTATAGGGTATCACTAGTCCTAGGTGATATCTATTATAATTTAATCGTTCAAAAACCTTAACAATGGAAGTCCAACCCTAATTGTTAATCGTGAATCAATCCTCATTGGTCTGATAGGAAAAGCATAAGAACATTGAACAATTAAGTTGAAAAGAAACTATTGTATCAAAATCAAGAATTCAAAATCATTACATTTGCAAAACAGGGATACTCTCCTAGCATTGGGGGGTTTAGCCTCTCATAGTATTAAAAAAGAAAAGCAATAATAAAAGTATACATTACAAAAGGTATGGATTCTCCGATCTTCAATTGCTATTGCTCATGAAGGAATCTTCGTCTTGAAATCTCTTGAAAGCACTGATCTTTATCGTTCCTAATCTTCTCCCATTAAAATTCCTCTCTATTCATCGTGGAAACTCCTCTAAATAGAAAAAAAACTCATTTAGGTTGGCTAGAAATACTCAAAACACCCTCAAAGACCAACTAATAAACAAAATAACCTGAAATACCGAGATCAGCGTCGCAACCCAACACGGACCGTGTCAGGCAACACGGGTGCCCGTGTTGGACTTCTGGCAATTTAATTTTTTTATCTTGGTTCAGGCACCCTGACACGAGTGCCTGTGTCACACCTTTGAATTCCTCTATTCATGGCTCTCGTCATGGCTGTCATTCGGACACGACTTGTGTTAGGAGACACAGGTGGCAGTGCCAGGCCTCCTGTAGGTGGATATTTGTATTTCTTTCGAAATTCAGAGTTTTGCATCAATTTGTCCCGAATTATTCTTTTGATCCTGAAAACATTAAAATACAAAACCAACGCATAAAAAGTGGTAAACTGAAATAAAACACGGGTGATAAAAAGAAAGGATAACATAAAACAATGATAAATTACTGTGTAAAAATCACTTATCAAACTCCCCCAAACTTAATCTATTGCTTGATCTCAAGCGACTATTACACGAACTCGTGAACATCATAGCAGCCTGGTATTTATACGTGGGACATCTATTCAAATTGATCAAAAGGTAGTTTTTATGATGTTCACATGACGCGAAGAGTTTGTGTAAAAACCTTTAAACTTCGAGCTTCCTCTTCAGATACCTCTCTAACTATGCTTTGCACTTAAGTCTTTTTTTCCGATTTTCATCCTTTTTCATTTGGACATTTAAATTAAGGCAATAAGACTTTTGATGATCATCGCACGCACAAGACTAATCAAGAAAATTTTTGTTCAGGCACCAAATAAGCAGCTTTTTCTCCTTTTTAAATTCATATGAAATTTTCAAAACTTTTAATTTTATATATTGTCCTTTTTAGACGATGTTTGGGGATCAACCCCCTTTGGGATGAATAACCGGGTGAGGGATACCCAACTTAGCGAGCCAATTACCTTTTACCACCTTTTTATCATTCGGTGTCAGCTTTATTTATTTCTCAATCAATCATACCTGCATGTGAATCTATATTATGCCAGACTGTAAAGATGAACTACTCCAGGAGTACTTCTTAGGATTCAAGCACTATAGTTAAAATCTACACATTAGACTCGTATCCGTGTCACGTTATTTCGAACTTCCTACCCTCAAAAAATCATCCATTTGTCTCTATATACTATTCCCGGTCTCTATGAAATACAAGTTCTTGCGGAAAACAAAACCAAATCTTTTTCGGTCCAAATTTGGGAAGACTTTGACATTTGTGGTTTCACCAAGAAAATAGCATAAAGAAAACAAATAAAACATTAAATCCCCCCCCCCCCCAAACTTGAACTAAACATTGGCCCCAATGTTTAAGAACAAGATCGAGAAGGGAGACTCATAGAGGGTAGTGCACATCAACTGTTGCCTCCTAGCTTTCACCAGTAAGGCCCTCTTCTTATTATCTGAAAACAAAACAAAATAAACAACAAAAATAAAATTAAGTTATTAGAAGCGTTGGTTTCCTCCCACGAAGCGCTTCGTTTAACGTCGCATGGCTCGACGGTTCATCCCCTTATAGGGGGTACTTCCTCTTCCACACCTTGTTGCTTATCCTTTCCGCAACCCAAAACTCATTCAGATCAAAAGTATCAACCCCTTCGTGCTTCCAACCACTTCCTGAAGGTGGAGAAAACACTTAGAAGGGGGGGGGGGGGGGGTTGAATAAGTTTCTCTTTTTCTTTTTCTTAAAGGAACAACAATAAAGGAAAGGCAAGATTATTTTTATCCTGGTTCGTTTGAACTCAAACTACTTCAGTCCACCCGCCAAGGTGATTTCTCCTTTCTTAACAAGGACTTAATCCACTATAATCAACTGATTACAATCACACAACAACTGTTGTGACTAACAATTCACAAGTAACCTTACAAGTGACTCACACCACTAAGACTTAAACTAGTCCTATTCTACTTGAGAAATCTGACCAACCTTGGTCTCTCAAGGAACAATTACAAGATATAAATCTTTACAGATAGTGAAACAAAGTTTGCTTCTAAGAAAGCTATATCACAACTGTGATTTTTCACTAAGAATATTATAGCACAAAGTGTATGAAATTTGTTTATGAGCCCATAATGTTTTGCGTAGTTATTGCTTCTCTTGAATTTGATAAGTTCTATTCAGAACTTCAGTTATTCAATCTTTCAGTATTTTGGTTTAGCAATTTTGTGTTTGAGCGTTAGCTGGCTTGCAATTAATGTTCTTCTATATATAGCATGAAGAAATTTGACAGTTGCTGCCTTCAAATAGATAGCGTTAAATTTTTGCGTGTTTCCTTGCACTATTCCATTTTCCAATGCACTAGCGTAGACACTTGAGTGCATGTAGCCGTATTTTCATTAAATGAGAAAACGACACTATGTAAGAACATGTTTCCTGAAGCTTGACAAGACAAGTTAGCTTTTACATTCTTTAAGAACTTGCTTCAACGTCTTGAATTCAGAACATGCTTGCTTATCTTCTAAACAATGCTTTGCTGGCTAAGTACTTCTGATCAGCGCTTGCTTTCAAATATCTTCTGAACAGCACTTGCTTTCAAATATCTTCTGAACAACACTTGCTTTCAAATATCTTCTGAACAACACTTGCTTTCAAATATCTTCTGAACAACACTTGCTTTCAAGAAACTTCTGAAACATAGCTTACACATAAACTTGCTAAGCGTTAGAAGATGCAATTAAATAATTATATTACCAGAGTCAGCATCAGCACTTGAGTTAAAACAAATGGTTCTTTCATCAAAGAACTTCTTCATTTATTTTCATCTCAGCACATCAAGATGCTTCGGTCAGAACATTATCAGAGACAACATCAGCATCAGCACTTGCGCTTGAAACAAATAGTTCTTTCATCAAAGAACTTCTTCATTTATTTTCAGCTCAGCACATCAAGATGCTTCTGTCAGAACATTATCTGAAATAGTTAAATACGTTCATCAGAGTATCAAATATATAAAATATAATTTATTGTTATCATCAAAACTCTGAGATATGATCAGAACCAATCTTGTTCTAACAATCTCCCCCCTTTTGATGATGAAAAAAATATATTCAGATATAGAAATAAATTTGAAAAGAGATAGGAATCTCCCCCTGAAATAAATATTTCTATAAGAAAAAATTCCTGAGAATTTTCATTAGAGCTTTGGAATTTTTCTTCTGAGATTTCTTCAT